CTCATCGATGTTTCTAGCTCTCTGTCTCTCTCCCTTCCTCTCTGTAAAAAAATCAATAAAATATATTTAAAAAAAAATGAGTTCGCATGTCACCTCTGACACATGTGTCATAGGTTCGCCATCACTGACCTAGAGGGAGAACTTGCATGTGGATGCTGGCGAGGGAGGCAGGGTGGGACAGCCCCTCCACAGCCCCTCCTCCTCAGCCCCTCGTGCTCCTGCAGGTGCAACAGTACGTGTCCCGGGCTGAGGAGCTCAAGGCCATTGTGTCCTCCTCCAATCAGGCCCTGCTGAGACAGGGGGCCTCTGCCCAAGACCTGCTCAGAGGTAGGCCCAGCTCCTGACTGACCACCAGGCCCCCAAGCGGATTGGGGTCAGCTCCCTGAGATGAGAAAAGCTGCTCCCCTCACCCTGAACCTTTGCCCTTCATCCCAGAGATGGCTCGGGACAAGCCACGCCTCCTGGCTGCTCTGGAAGTGGCTTTAGCTGCTGTGGCCAAGGTTTGTACCCAGTGGGAGGGGTCCCGGTGGGGCAGGGAGGAATCGAGATCATGACCCTAAATAACTGGTGTCTCTGTGGCTGCAGGAGGAGGAAGCTGGTGGGGAGCAGGACGCCCTGGACCTGTACCAGCACAGCTTGGGGGAGCTGCTGCTGCTGCTGGCAGGTGAGGCCCTCACCACCACGCTCCCTGACTCCCTGCTGCCCTGCCCTTAGCACGCACCCTCCCTCTTTTTGCAGGGGAGCCCCCAGGCCGGAGGCGGGAACTGCTTCACACTGAGGTGCCTACCGGGGTTGGGTGGGCTGTGGGGGGCTTCATCTTCCCCTTTGACCCTCCTTCCATCTGGGAGGACCTTCTTGGGTTCTCTCGGGGTGTTTCAAGTCTGGGAGTCAGACCTTACAGACCTGATAGGTTGTTGGCCACATGCGGTTCATAGGGGCTAGGAGCTCAGGTCAGGCAGTTGGGACGGGCAGGATCAGGGGACCCAGCAACAGAAAATTGGCTAGGCCACTTCAGTCAGGAAGGCTTTCTGGAGGAGGGGGCAGATGAAGGATGCAGAATGCAGTTGTTCTGGGGCAGAGGGTTCTAGAGAGCAGCAGGAGTGAGGAGGGTCTCACTCTGAGAGCCCCACCCGCACCCACATAGGCACGTATGTCTTCCCTTGGCAGGTTCAGAACCTCATGGCTCGAGCTGAATACCTGAAAGAGCAAGTCAAGGTGAGCACATGGGAGGTCCCACTGGGGCAAGGCTATGTGGTTTCTGCTCCTCTGCTTGTAGCTCTCTGCCCCCCCTTTCCCTCTGTGTGTCTCCCTTTCTGGGTTCCATCTGCAGGCCTCTCCACTGCTGTCTCTGTCTTTCACTCCCAGTTGCCCTGGGACTGTTGATGCGGCTCCTTTGCCTGCCCCTGGCTGCCTGTCACCTCGGTGCCGCCTTTTTGTTCCACAGATGAGGGAGTCTCACTGGGAAGCCGAGACCTTGGACAAGGAGGGGCTGTCGGAGTCTGTTCGGAGCTGTGAGTCCTGCCTGGGGTCCTACACTCTGCCCCAGGAGGAGTGAAGGTCAAGGGCAGCCCTGGATTCTGCCTTGTTTGCCAGAGACCTGACACTGACCCTTCTCCCTTACCCCTCCACAGCTTGCACCCTGCAGTGACCTCAGAAAGATGACTGCACAGACCATGGGCCACCTGAAGTTGGGGGACACACCTAGGCTGCTGCCCGGAATTCTGTGGCCCTCTGCAGCCTGGCGGGGTAGCCTTCCTGGATGGGCAACCCTGTGAGCACCGTGTCCTAGGGTCCCTAACACCCTCAGGATGCCCTCCACCCCACAAAGGCTCTGATGGCCCAGCCCTTTATGGGCTGGGAGCACTGGGTCTGGCCCCAGGGGAGGAAGCAGGCCTCTGGGAGAAGTGTCTCATGTGACTGGTTAACTGGTGACTGCTGGACCCTGAGCCTGTCAATTTAGGGCATGAAGGCTCAGATGTAGCCTGTGCCCACCCCTTTCCTTCCTGGGAGCCCTTATTTCAACTTGCCTCTGTCCTCGCAGTGGACCAGGGCGCTCAGGGACCATCCCCCCAATGGTCTGCACTCAGCCCCACAGAACACCAGTCATCTTGGAAGCTGATGTCTGTCCACCCTGTCTCAGTATTTTAAGTTAATCCCGCAAGCCATGAAAATAATATATTTCGAAGGATGGGGCAAATTGAAGAAACTCATGCCTGTTCCTGCCCTGCCCCAGAGGGTCTGCGGGGAGGTCCTTCATCCTCACCCCTCCAGCCTTCATCTCTCTTTAGGGAGCACCCCTTGTTTTCTGCAGAGCTGGTCCTGGCCTGGAACAGGGAGGCATGGGGCCTGCCCGACTCCTCAGGTTTTGGAGACCCACTAGCCCAGGAGACATTTCAGGACTGACACGGCTGCCACCCCAGCCTGTGCCCTGGGCAAGCACCTTTCCTTTTCTGGGCCTGGGTCTTCCCAGCTCCATTGGTGTTGCTGTGATCTCCTAACCCCTCCCCCCCCGTGGCTTTTAGGAGTACCAAGTGACTTCCATCTGGAGAACAGTGTATATACCTGGAGTTACTTGGGGATTTGTTTTTAAAACTCTGGCTGTTGGTGATTTCTAACCTTTCCACCCTTCAGTGCCTCCTGGGGCAAGGGTCGTCTTTTCTGCTCTATCAGAGGCCAGTATGAAGTGTATCATTTATTGTTTCCTTATTAAATTATTTTTTGAACTTATGATTCTTTTCTTGTCCTGTAAGAAGAGAAGGAGTAGGTCAAAGCAGGCAGCCCCCTTTCCTAGGCTAGTGCTATAGGGACTCCAGGAATAACAGGGTAGCCTGAGAGAGGGCTGGGGGAGGCCACGGAGTGGTGGGGGAGTGAGAGCCACAGTGCCTTCTGCCCTCAGGCCCAGGAGAGTCAGGCTGACAGGCTGCTGTTCTGCCCACCCCCTAAGGGACTAGTGGGAAGGGGACAGGCACAGGCCTCAGTGCCAGGCAGTGCACCCAGAGAAGGGTCGACTCCACGGCAGGAGCACAGTCCTGTAAAACCTCTTTGCTCTGCGCTGCACAGTCCGTTGCCCCACACAGGCTCCCTG